TGTCTCCTACGATACTCTAATGGCAAAAATAGTAGTGTCGGCCATGGATCTGCAACTGCCAAAGTAGTGCTATACTGCCATCTATGTTGCACCATTATCCACCTTCTTTCTAGCAAATCTATTATTTCAGACTTTCAAAAACTTGACTTTTTCTCAAAAGTAATCCCGTCCCCAAAAGGTTAACAAGCAATAAACAAATAACTACAATAAGACTTGTAATTATATAGATGAAAGGAAAATGTTATATTAAACATTTATTTATCTCTTTTGATCATTTTCTTAAAAAATAATTTAATTATATTGACTATCAAATATTCTTATGTAAAAGCACAAATCTATCGAAAATTTCACTAATAGAATCGTTATGAACTCAAATATATATATATATATTACAGTACTAAAAACTAAATTTCCAATTATTTTCTTTATATAGAAATAAATCAGATAGATAGTTTTTCATAATTGGTATCAATAAATGTAAAATTTTCTTAATTCAACAGCAATTATAAGCCATGTTAATAACATGATACTGCCAACCATAATTTGATTTGTAGGTTATTATGGTCGACAAGTCCTTGATAGTGCTACTCGCCGATCTTATGGAATGTTCAATACAATTGACATGCTTCTATTCGTGATATATTTTATTGCAATATGTCATAAAATATAGTTATATTAGCTCAGGCAAATAAAGGAAAAACTCAGTGACTTGTGGAACCTATTTTAGTAAAATTTATGATGAATCGCTTAATAAGTTTTAAGATGAATTAGAAAGATAATGTTTCTTTTTGTAAGATTTAGACATAATATATTTAAATAGTACAAAGATGTTTCTATAAATCTGAATAAAATAAATTATGATAATCTCTGATATTTAAGTTCACAAGAATATTCGTTTTATCTATCAATTTAAAAGCGATTGAAGAAATATTTCGACAAAATCAAAAATGAATTGAATGAGAGGAAAAAAATCAATGATAGTGATGATATATAATTGTGTATTAATGTTCTAGAGATAAGATAAAAATAAAAATGGGTAAATGAGCAATAATGGTCTAACGAACAGCATGTATATTATAACTACAAAAGATAGATCTCCGTTAACTACAATTAAGTAATAGAATTAACTAAAGTTTTCATTTAACGATGAAAAAGTAATTTTTCAAGCATTTTAATATTTCACTCTTATTTTACCAAGATTATTAGGTCATTTACAAAAACGTGCTATATGATAGACGAAGATATATAGTACGGTTTGTCGTACATTTACTTTGTCCATTTCGTTTTCTTTTTTTCTTTCTTTCTTTTCTTTGTTAGTTACATATTACTTATTAATCATTTCTTTTATTCTTTTGTTTCTATATGTTAGGAGTAATTACCAAATGCATTCTTTTATTCTTTTTTCTCTACTATGATATGATGTGGATATATTCCAAATACTATATGTAAATTTATCTTATTTCAATATAATTCATCATTCAAATGAGACTAAATATAAAAATAACGGTCATTGTTCTGTGTAAAAAAACTTCATTATTTCTGTTGTAAATAAAATAATTATCTACAATACTATTTCACAGATCTTAACAAATTCTTTACTTTGTTTTAAGTTGTACTTGTGATATAAGACTCTTCTTCATTTCAAATCTTCGAATTATTCTATAAGAACAAACAAAAGATGTTATGGCATATTTTCATAATAAATAAACTCCTCTATTTGTTTTTTTTTAATTTAGTAAACAAAATACTTTTTTATTCATATTACTATTTAACTGATGAAGTAGAGATTCATTCATAAAACATCTTGAAATCCAACGAAAACTATATGGATGATCTATTATTCTGAGTCAGATATCTATTCAGTTAAGATAGAACAAAAAAAACATTTTTTTTGTACTTTTATTAACCGTAATGGTTGTTTGATATCTAAATAGATCGATACAACAGAACGTGTCATATTTTCTATTCATGTATAATAGGCTTTTATTTACTAACAATTTTGTAAAAATCTTCTCCTTATTATTTTGTTTTAGATAAAAATCATTTCAAAGTATCGATATTTTTATTACCTTTACTTCAAATAATTTGATCAAAATAAATGAAAACATCAAACTAAAAGTAAGTTTTTGATTGATTATTTACAAAAAAATTAATCCCTATTATTATATAAGTTTATTTTTTCTAATTCTTCTACTGTTCTCTTTTGTTTGGAAGTGTAGTATAAACGTAAACTATTAGAATGATTTTTTTTCGATTTCGCTCTCTTTATTGTTACACTCGGAAGTGGTTATAAGAAATACCGTCAGCATTTATGGCAGTTTGATTAACATGACTATGAGTGATATAAGCATACAGAGGGAAGCACACAAGATTTATAAAATGCCATGTTTAGTAGATAAAAAAATATATAGTAGTAAGAGTAAAAAAGAAAAAAATAGAGAAAGACAAAAGAGGAAGAATACAGCGAGTAGAGAAAGAAAAAAAAGAAAAGAAGGATCTCCTGAAAAGCGAAAAAGAGAGAGCATCAGCAGAACAATCATGCGGTGAATTTCACATACATAAAAATTTGAGGCATTGAATAAGCAGTGATGGATGCCTTTCACGCATAAATCTGACTTGCTTCATTCGAAAAAAGGGACCTAGGTGAACATTTTTTACTTTTATGAAATGTATCCCAGTAAAATACGTCATTGTAAAAGGGAGAGCGACCTAAATCTCATTTTCCAATTCGTTCTAATCCCTTCTTTATATATGTTTTTACTTATTCTTCTAATGACTTTTCGTTTGTTATTTTGAGAAGGTCTGTTGCTTGAGCAAAGAGATAACAGTAAACCAATCTTAAACTATTTCTAAATTTTCTTAGAAGAAACTCTTTTTGGGTTTACGGTAGGAATAAGTAAAGAGAAAATATCCAGGCAAAATGTGGGAAGCTGTAGGCAAAGAAACATCTTCGCAAGGCCTCTTTTGAGAGAGTTTTGCCACCTTTCATCCATCTTAATTTACTAAACGTTCTTTGGATGTTTTAAGGGTTTTATCAATTGTTCGTTTCAAGGACATCTTATTTATTCAAGTAAAACCTTGATATTTGAATTTTTTAGCTACTTCCAATCTTTGACCTTCCATATATATATATCTACTATTGGGTTTTGTACTTGTAAAACATGGACTCCGTATTATTGGTAAAATGTGGATGCATAAGTGGGCTTCAAATTTAGAGTTTACGCGTGGAGCTCACTTTTTTGACCGATGTTTGCATATTTGTGCACCAGCATTATCACTTGAATCGCTGTTAGACGGGATGTGGGTGTGGGTGGGTGTGGGTGGGTTGCGGGAGGGGGGGGGGTGGGTGTGGGTGGCTGTGGGTGGGTGAGGGTGTGGGGTGGAGGGTGTGGGTGTGGGTGTTCCTCTCATAAACACCCACACCCACACCCACCACACCCACCCAGCCACACCCCCACCCCCCCCCCCCCCCCCCCCCCCCCCCCCCACACCCACCCCACACCCACACCTTACACCCACACACTGCACACCCGGCGCTCGCACCTTACACCCGACACCCGACACTCGCACCTTACACGCGACACTCGCAACTTACACCCGACACTTGCACTTCACACCCGCGCCCGCATCCTACATCGTTATAATTAACCCTCAGAATAGCCTTGATCAACATTTATCTTTACATGGTAGACAGATTCCAGTGAATCATGAAGACTAATGTGCGATATCAGAAGCCGTCTTTTATAGTGGACATTGAGAGAGAAACTGCTAAAAAGTGTTGTTAGGCGTTGGAAAATGATGGCTTTTTCCACTAACAATGGAGGTATGTGTATTGATTAGCGAAAAAGTTGCACATGTTCGGGTCAAATGAAAGCTCTCAACGCCAAACTAACAAGGTTAAAATATTAGCGGCTGTTGGCTTGCCTAGAGGGAGATATTTAACTTTTAAGTGTAGGTGTAAAAATGAATCAGGAAAGGTTTTCTCCACTATTATATGGACAAAACATAGTGTTGTTCGGGGCGATTAGGGGGTTTGTAGGGACCCTCTTTCATATGGCCTGAACAACACTATGTTCTGTCCTTATAATAGTAGAGTGAATTTTTCGTGTAGGTCATGGAAACGGTATTTTCTATCAATTACTAGAAAAATTCACTCCGCTATTATAAGGATAAAACATAGTGTTGCTCGGGCCATATGAAAGAGGGTCCCTACAAACCCCCTAATCGCCCCGAACAACACTATGTTTTGTCCTTATAATAGTGGCGAAAACCTTTCCTGATTCATTTTTACACCTACACTTAAAAGTTAACTATCTCCCTCTAGGCAAGCCAACAGCCGCTAATATTTTAACCTTGTTAGTTTGGCGTTGAGAGCTTTCATTTGACCCGAACATGTGCAACTTTTTCGCTCATCAATACACATACCTCCATTGTAAGATCTTAGAATATTTCGTTCTTACGGTGTATACTAATAAAGACTATTCCTTGACCGGCAGAATGATAAACTCTTACATAGTAATCGTAAAGTCGACTTTTTTTTCAGATACCTTTGCTTTCATAAACTGCCGGATTCACAAATTCGCAACGGTTTTATGAAAAGTTGTATTTCGGATAAAAGTGTATTATTTTACGGTTCCTTTTACATTGTAGCTGCTTGAGCAGTTCTTGATGCTTATTTGTATAGAACAAAACATCTATCAAATAGAGATGCAGGTTTTCAGATATCGACAATCAACCCTATCAATACACGAAAAAGAGATTTTGATAGATGGCACGTGCCCGTATAGTTAGTTAACAATACAGATTCTAAGAATAGAACGTGACGTTCTTCAAGAGACTCAATTTGGCATCGCTAATACTTTAGTTTTTTTTGGTCTGTTCCGAGAAGCGTAACAGAGAACATTTATTATGTTACTAGTTTTGGTGCTAGACAATGGGTATGAGCGAAAACGAATATTATTTTTTTGACTCATATTTCAGCTTAAGAGAAAGACCTAAATATGCATCGACGTCGACTAGCTTTGGTCTTCGGAAATGATGACTACAGTGGTACAGCAAAATTAAATAGTTGTGTCAAGGATGCAAACGATATGACAGTTGCATTAACGAACTTGGGTGGGTCTTAACGACTAACACTTTAATGACTAATAAAGTTTTAAAATTCTTGTTTTTATATTCCAGGTTTTCAATGCACGAAACATCATAATTTAAATAAACGTGCCATGGATATTGCTATTAGAGATTTTCGTGCAAAAATTGGTGAAAATGACTGTATTTTAATATATTTTTCTGGACATGGCATGGAAGCAAACGTAAGAATTATAAAAGATTTTTCTTAAGGTCATTGAAAAACGTCAGAAGAGTTATGAGAATTTTCCTCAAAAAAGTTCGTTCTGATGCGAATGTTAGTAATTTTCTGATATTTTCCCTTGTCATATAACAATATACATTGTACCCAGATAGTTGCGTTTGATTAGCTATCTGAAATAAGTATTGTATAGAACTCATGCTTTGATATAATTTGACAGAACTATTCTCAACAATATTTACACGATATTTTTTGATTCTATTATTTGTGAGCCTGATTTCCAGGAACAATAGACTTTAAAGATGACGGCCTTATCAATTATTCTTCGGCATAGGCTTCAAAGCTCTTGAATAGAGCAAAAGATTCTGCATTCAAAGCTGAAACTCCGGTACTGTCTTTGTATTCATAGGAAAAATAGCTCAATTTGCAGGAGGTTTCTCTTTTCTTTTGTGTCGATATACCGAAACTAATCTCTTAGCTAACCCTTTACGGCTCTCTTGAATCATTATTTTATTGTCATCTACGATTACTACTGGATTCGTAGAAGCAAGTAACACAGTAGGAAAATAAAATATTTTTCTAGACTTCACATATGGGTTTCGTGGCCGAAATAAAGCGTTTCATAGTTATCTAACTATCGATACGTCAGTATCTATGGAAATGATACTACGAAAGGTTTTTTAATTAATCTTTAGATAAATAGTAGAATACTGGTTCTAGTGTAATTTTCCAAGGCATCACTCCTGAGCAACGATGCACTTACATATTCGATTAAATCAGATTACATAAGTATTTTTAATCGAACTTTGTGTAGTGGATTATGACCTGTTATAATATGTAACACTACTGTTGCCACCCATGGTGTAAATTTCTGCGAGAAAAACGCGTTCTGAAAACGCGTTGTCCATAGCTGCAAAACGCGTTAATGCTGACCGGTTTGACGCGTTTCACATCTGCTAAAACAAACGCTGTGTAACGATTGTTTTTGTGGAAGATTTTGCAGCGTTTCTCAAACTGTGGTATCATATATTCTAGATGGAAAAAAAACTGAAAACCGTCAATGACTTCATAGATCTTGAATTGCAGGTACAATTTATATACTCGTTTACATTTTTTCATAGACCTTCAGAACTATAACTTACATGAATTTTGTTGCAGTCGAGACACGGATTCGAACACGAGAACATAGGAGTATAAGACATATATACAAACCGTTCAACTAAAATAATCTGATGATATAAATGTTTATTCTACTGTCATTTAGAGTCTCGCGTAAACTTACTAAATTAGATTTTCAGTTTCCATTCTACTGAATTGAAAATTATTATTTCTTTGGTGCCCATGCCCAATTAATGTGGTCTTTTCTTGACACATTTTTTATTTGAACTCTTTCAGATTTAAATGTAGATACTCAATAGAACCAAATTTAATCGATTTAAATTATATTTAATATTTAAAAAATTAAATTTCTTATATATAAGTTTTAAAAAATTTAAAATTTAATCTTTTATTTATTTTCTTGATTTAATAGATTTTTGTAAATGTAAATCTGCCATTGTTTTCTCCAATTACTTCAATAAATGAAGGGAGTTTTCTTTTGTAAGTTGAATTTCTTGTATTAAAAAGTCACTCTTACTTCAACAATGTACAAACTAAAATCATGTTTACTAGTATTGTACACAGTATCATTATTCATTATCAATTCGTTCGAGTATGAACTCAAACTAATAATTATTCAAATTATAGAGAACGCGATACCTCTTTTGTTCACAAATAACCAAAGAGAGTTACTATACTAATTATATTAGTATCAGTCTTTACTAAATTTTTTCGAAATGCTCAATATTTAAAACGACCTGTCCACGTAAAACATGATTCCGTCACGCTTTATTTGTTTTATTTCATACAAATGACTCGATCTCTAGAATCCAATGCATTTGCAATCTTGGACAAAAAGTTGTGCTTGTCAAAATGAGACACTACAAATTTGTCTGTAACTTTTCATTCATTACAAACGAGCGTGACGGAATCATCTCCCTCCGTGGACAAGTCGAAAACAATTCTTAAGCAAGCCTTATGAAACACGTTTTCTTTCAATAAAAACGTGGTGAAATGAGTTTTTAAGTAAGAAGAATATATTTTTTGTTACACTTTGATGTTTTACATTAGTCTAACTTCGAAATAACTCTAGATAACAGCCTAGCAGCCTAAAAATTTAGAAGACTTTGATTTTAGTCTTGCCTTCATAAAATCCTTGGTCATGATTTTCACGTAAAAATAGTGCAAGGAGCAAAACTTTAAGTGCTATTTCATATCATTTCCAAAGTAATTTTAAAGAACTTACTTTGGTTAACTCATATGCTTTGTGTTGGTGAATATCTGCAAGATTCTGTATGCAGAACGGATATATTTTGCATCATTCCAAGCAAAAACAATCCAATATATATTTGAAAAAGGAACGCGTTCCACCTTTCCCTCAATTTGTACCTGTGAAACGCGTCGCCTGTCGACCAAAGTGCGTTCGGCAGCATTTGAATTCGGAAACGCCTCGAAACGCAATCTTGAAAAAAGCGTTTCGGATCGTTTCAAAAAACGACGGTGGCAAAACGCATTTTATGTAAGTAAGAATGCTGCGAAACGCGTCCCATATTGAAAAAACGTTGCGAAACGCATGCTACAATCTCGAAAACGCGTTACGCGGTCCGTTTCCTTCAATATTTTACTCCATGGGCATCAAACTCGACTCTGTGTAATTTGTACTTCATCTTTAGCAGCAAAAAAAATCTTTTGAGTTTAGATCTGAGGAGTATGTTATTTTCGTATATGATTTGATATGATTTTCTGCAAATAACTGGTAGCTAGTCGACATTTTATTCGAAAAAACTGAGAGCGTAAAGACTGAGGTTTTATTACGCCATTATACATTGTTGATAGTTTCTGCTAAGTAAGATATTGACAAGTTGACTTCTGATTAAGCGATCTTAATAGTATAAACTTGTTAAACTGAGGTTCTTGTAAAAAATTGACAAGATTTCTTATTCTTGCTCTCTAGTTTTGATGAGTCTTCGTCATTCTTAGATCCCACCACGTGGTCACGACTTTTAGATACACTATTATATTTTAATCTTGATGATAAAAATATAATTTACCATTAGTGATAATGCAATATTAAAGATTGAATCATTGCTTCCGAGTTTCCGCAACAAACAACATAATTGAATGGAAAATCCGTTTCAATGATCAATTAGCTAAAGATTAACCGATGGATCACAATATTCTATAGAAAATTAAATTGACAAAATCAATTGAAATAACTGATGACGAAATTATGCTCAAAGTGTTTTCTATTCATATATATGCTCCATGAGAATAATTTTCAATTAGTGCTGGAGTAGCATTAATAGGTTCATCGATTACATTGTTGAAAAACAATCTGAATGAATTGCTTCTGTGTACTTAAGTGGCATGACTTTTTCAGTACATTAAGCGAATTTATCTGTCATGTAAAATTATTCTTGCACTTGTTTTTATGAGAAATCAAAAGCGATATGAAAAAAGATTTTGTCATGAGTCCGAAAGAAAATAAGAAGTAAAACAATTGGCAAAGCTTCGAAGTCCACAAATGAGTACCCAGTGATTAATAAGTCTAAGGGGTTAATATAGAACAGTTTCACTCAAATTATAAGTTTTGGAAGAGCTTAGCTAAAGAACCTTTTTAGTACTCTTTGAGTATACGTATATATCGGTGAATCGTATTCCCATTTTGTCGTTATATGTCAGTGCGTATTTTGATAATATCTTCTGTTTCTTTTACTTAATAAGTCGAAAAAACAAACAAAACATGACTCTAACTACAGTCGAAAAGGCCAGACGTTACGCTAGTAAAGGCATTTACTTCTCTCTTTCCCTTACATTCTGATCAACAGCAGTTAGAGCTAGGGCTGTACAGCTCACGCTCATATGAGCGCTCATGAGCGTGAGCGTTTTCTGACTTAAAGAAAGTACGAGCGTCTCTGATCACTTTTTTCGACTTTGTTCCTCGAAAATCAATATTCATGATTTTTGTGCCTGGGGTCCCCCTCAGGTATCATGAAAAAAAAATTTTTTTTTTTCACGAGTCAAAATCAGATGTAACAGTAGATTGAGAGATGCTGGTTAAGAATATCACAATGAGAGCTCTCAAAATCTTTTTATTCTTGGAATAGTCCTAACCACTCTATGCACCATATTCTTCATTATTAGGGTACTCATAGAATATTTATTCACTTAAATTTAGCCAGAAAC